AGAGTTCTGAGGAGAAAACTGCTAACAAGAAACTGAGAAAATCTAGTAACTTTAAGTCGTGAGTTAACTGGAAAAAGAGTTATATGGATTTGAGTATGAAAAATATGAGACTCAGATTAATGTTCTATTATAAGAAGGGCTTCATTATTTAATACTTATAAAACAAAATAAAATTTAATGGAATAACTTTCCTTCAGCTAAGTTTCCATCCCTTCCCTGGAGAAGAAAACAACTAGTAAAGATAAGAATTGATCTCCATTGTCTTTGTTCCCTAACTCTCCCTAGGAGCAATGGTGACAATGTTTTTCATGCATAACTCATATGCTAGCCTAACTCAATTGTTAGATTAATAAGATCACAGAAGTTTTTGAGATTCTGGTTTTAATGCAAACCAGAAACTGAAGGATCCTCTGTGAGAATTTATTTAATATTTGGTAGGGCATTTTCCTCAAATCTCTGAAGTAAGAACACAGTTATATGTTACTGGCTTATCATTTACAAATCCATCTAATTAGGTGAGAATATGCACTTGCATTGCATTGATAGAATACCAAAATATTATTACAAAAGCAAAGTTAATAAAGTCAAATTATGTGTTCGACTAGATATATTTTCCATGGAGTTTTGTAGCCCAAATGTACTATTTTGATTTCATCCATTGATTTTAATTATTTAAAAAGTTCATAATTTAAAAATGATTAGCTTTAACACATTTGACCTTTCAATTGTATGTAAAATTTAACCAAAAGTTGGGACTTTTAACATTGGCCTGAATCTCTTCTCCTTCTAGGATGTGGACTCAATTTATAGATGTGCAGCTGATACAAAGATTAACACATTCTTGAAATTAACTTTTCTTATCTCTTTATGTTTACTACAGCTTTGAATCCTTATTTAGGCATTTGCTAAGTGGTTTGAAGACATTATTTTACTTGACCTTCTGATAGATCTATTCTGCAGAAACATAGTCTACGATGACAGAATTCTAGGAAAAAGCTTAGATACCTAAGGGAAAAATTAGTTTATACCAAGAAAAAGATTTCTGTAAGCCACTCAGAAGGTAGTGCTGTCAGAAGTGGAATTAAATTGATATGAATCCAAAGTCTGTCTGCTTCAGCTTTACCCCTGTTTATTGTCATATTCCTGGGAGATCATGTAAGAACTCATATTAGTCATCTAACATTCTAGTTTTTATGGAGATTACTGGGAGATTCAATAGTTCATGTTTTCCTTATCCATAAAACTACATTTGTTGTAAAATAAGAAAGAGGAAAGGAAAATCTGGGCATCAAGATGATCTCTCAAAAACTTTGTCAATATGAATGTATTTTTCAGGATTTCTTCTGTCTATAAGTGAAGAAAATTCATCTGAAATTCACTTAAGCAAACAAAGAATGTTTCCTGTTTCATGAAACTTAACAAGTTCAGGAAATGTTAAATTCAGGAACTCAAATGATATGAGGAGGCAGTCTATATCTTACAATTCTTGGCTATACTACCCTTGGGGGTTCATTCTAGATTTTAAAAAGTCATGAAGATAGCCAGGCTTTGGTGGCACACGCCTTTAATCCCAGCACTCGGGAGGCAGAGGCAGGCGGATGTTTGTGAGACCAGGCCAGCCTGGTCTCAAGAGCGAGTGCCAGGATAGGCTCCAAAGCTACACAGAGAAATCCTGTCTTGAAAAACCAACCAACCAAAACAAACAAACAAACAAAAAGTCATGAAGAGGAAGAGTTTGTTTTTGATTCGAAATCTGCAAGGTTGTAACTCCATAAAAACATCATAATATTGGGGATTGAAAATCAAGGGAGAGAAATAATAACAATTAAAGAAAACAATCCCCATCATAAAGTTGCTTATGCTTCTGCCAAGGAGAAGAATTAGGTGTTCACTCAGGCTCCAAGTTCTACTTGTATTATAGATTATTTATATGATAATATGCAAACAGATGTATACATCACATATATATTTGAAACAATTATCTCCAAATGAAGAGTGGGAGTTGAAATATCTCCTCATATAACTTTGATAAGAAAGTTTTAGTTAATAAGTCCTGCAGAATAAGGATAATTTTTCCTATAAGTAAGCTTAGTTCTTTGAAGTATAAGTTTTCCCTCCATGCACATACACTTCACTAGAAGCTGCATTTTCATTCTTTGTGTTATAAAATCTATCATAATGCACCTGTTTATCATTAAAAGATATTACAGTGTTTGGTAAAGATACAAATTACTTTTTCTATTATTTTTAGATACAAATAACATAGTCAAGAAGAATTATAATAAATCATATGCCCTTTAATGAATGCGATCCTCTTTCTCCATGTTTCCCTGCCACCCAATGACAAAGAATCTATTTTGAAGGATCTTATGGGTTCCTGGATTAAACCTAGAGTCTACAGAATGGAGACGTTTGGGTATAGATAGTGTATACATAGTGAATTGTCCTCAAGCCCACAGTACCCAACAGCTCTGATCATGAGCAACTGAGCAGACTGCAAAGCTTGTTCTGCCATGCTTTATTCTTGTAAATACAAGGTAAGAAGAATTACTTGCACCTTAGCATGAGCAGAACTACATTTTACTCAGTGTAATTCCATGAGAAAATTACTAAAATGGGAATAGAAAAGGTTTAGGTTACACAAATAAGAAAGCTCTGGATGACTAAATTACATGCATATAATAAATATTAAGGAAGACATTTCTTGTAAGACAGGAACTTGTATTCCAAGATATGCTATTTCCTTGGTTAAGAAAATCATATCATTGTAGATAGCGTGAAATACTAGAGCTGACATTGTAACAAACATCTTTTACCCAACTTTTATAGAGATCTCTCCAAAACCTCTAAAGCAAAGCTCCCCTTGCTATACAAGGCAGTGTTCTGCCTTTCAGAAATAAAATGTGTCAGGTTTAAAAACAAGAAAATTCTCAGACAGGGGGACAATAATTCAAATTCTATATATGCTATATGATTGTTAGCAGACAAACTCTTGACTTTTCTGTTTCTGAACTGTGCCTTTTACATAAGAATATATAATGACATATATATTATATATATAAAATATTCTGCCTCTGGATGTTTTCATTCCAAGCATTTTGTACACACTGGAAATCTCCTTGCCTTGTCAGCTCTACTCTGCATCCCTAGGATAAAGGTAATGTTTTCCAAGCTCTATATTGGATCACACCTTTCAGTAGCATTCAAACTGCAATGAAGTCTTTGCTGTGGCATCCAACATCATTAGAGTACTTTAACCTACACTCAGTTACCTAAAGATGTCTTCCCTGTGGCACAATTATCCCATTGAAAATCTAAGCTTCCAGTTACATAGTTGAAATTAACATACCGTAAGAGCCTTTCGTTCTTAAACTCACTATTGAGATATTGTAAGTTAATTCTAATTCCATTCTGTTGTAACTGGATTTGAATTGACTTTGAATGTCCCTTGACTAAACATATCCAAGGGGAACAGAAGAACATTTCCTAAAATGTACAAATATCACCAGCTTGTATTTGGTCCACAAGAGTCCAAGAGCACCTGACTTGCTACTTCTGATGAAAAGTGAGTGACCAAGTGACAGCCACAACAGCCAACATGTCACATTTGCAGGCAAAAGTATTCTTTGGAAATGATAATGATAGTCTCTTCTGAACACAAAGAGTGTTGTTATTCACTTTAAGGAAAAGCAAACCCAACTCTGGAAGCTATTTCACAAGGCACTAAAACCAATTACTTCATAGTTCAGCCCTTTAATTTTTCAACACATTGTTGCAAGCAAAGGCTCCATGTCTTCATATTGGTTTGTGAATTTGAAGAGGGTATGAAGGACCTGAAGAAGCAGGACTAAAAGGCACAGGTTGGTTGGTTTTAATCTTTAATCTATCCTAAAGGCTATGACAGACTCTGAAGATCCCCGTGGAAGGCCTCACCCTCCCTGGGGAGCAGAAATGGTATGGGATAGGTAGGGTGTTAGTGGGGGGGGGGGCATGGGAGGAGGGGAGGGAACTGGGATTGACATGTAAAACAATATTGTTTTTAATTTAAATTTAAAATGGAAAAAAAACTTTAATCTTTGATTGTGGTGTCTGGGATATTCTTGCCATTCCTTGCTTGAGCACCTCCCGCCCCCTCCAATAAAAAGAGGTTATATGGGCACATTTTTCTACACTGCCAGTTTAAAGTCCTAACTACTTAGCTCAGAAAGCTTGCACTCTCTTCTATGTTCCCAGTGGTGTCACTGGAGAGCAAAAAATCCTAGATAAATTTATCTGAGTCTGGTTAAGTAATATTTGTTCTTTCTTGGAAAAGTGGCCCCTCGTGGGCAATTATTTCACATGTCTTAGCTTTTTACAATTTAATGTAAAACAGTAACCTTGTGTCTCCTTCTCCTCCTCTTTCCTCCCGCCTATCTGGAGCCCTATTCCAACCAACCCCCAGTTTCCCCTCCCTACCAGACTCTAAAGTGTCACTCACGGTGCTTTTTTTTTTTTTATGTTTCAACAGCTTCCAAAACAAACAGTGGAGGTTGTGACCGGCTGGGTATTCACTCAGTTGGATGCAACAGTATCTTCCAGTCGCTTTGGCCTGAGCCGCCATTGGTGGCAGGTCTGTTCCCTAAAAGGGCAGCATTTGTCAATCTCTGGGCTCTGGCAGGTCCCAGAATCAAGGATTTGAAGACTGATGATACACACATGTCCACTGAGAGGGAGGAAAACTAAAAAGGAAGGGAGACTACACCTCGTAGGATTTCGACTAGTTTAAACTGCCTTTATTTTTATTTTGTCTATTTAAATAAAAATATAGTTATATATAACAGAAGGGGAATTTTTTTGTTGTTGTTAAAGTGCGGATCCAAAAATTGGTTTTCAGATTTAAAACTTCTTTCTGTGAGCTTTTCCTCCCTTGCCTCTAATCTGCGCCCTCCCTCTCCCCCTCCCTCCCTAACCCAGCTCAGGTTGAAACTTTGCAGCGCACATTCACTCCTTCCCCTCCAGGGATGGCTTTGAGCTCTCGAGCGCACGCCTTCTCGGTGGAGGCCTTGATTGGGAGACCCAGCAAAAGAAAATCTCAAGACTCAACAGAGGAGATGCAGCCTGAGCTGCAGGAAGAGCAGTGCTTACAGAAAGAGGAGGAGGAGAAGGTACCCAGCAGTGCTTCTGGGGACTGCTGCAAGCAGCCGGGTGAGTACACTCAAGCAGCCCGGTAACCCTGAGCGCTTCACTCGCGCAGCGCTGGCTGGATCGGATCTTCTTCGCCTGGTTCCTTGCGCTGTGGCAAGGATGTTCTGGCTCAGCCCCACAGGTCAGGTTGTGGATTGAGGAACACATTAGCTACCTGACTTGAGTACGAAATTCTGAGAGTCTGAATCGCACTGGAAATGCTGTGGTTTGTTTGCAATGAAAAGGAGGGTCCCACTTACTTTTAGAGAAGTGAGTCACACACCTCTTACAAATATGCCAAAAGCCAGCAGGGTGTTCCCCAAATACCCCAGGAAATCTAGCTTCAGATTCAGCTTATGGGGGGTTAAGGGTGAGAGAATTTTAAGGGTCCCACCTTTTGTGGGATGTAAATTGGATCCCTCTCTCCACTATGAAGCCACAAAGGCTTTTGTGGAGGAACTGGAGTTTCTGGGGGTAAGGATGAAGTCTATCAGTCCAAAGACAGTCTGCTGACAAAAGAGTGTGGTGCAACCTGCCAAACTCAAAATCCTATGTCTAGCAGAAAAGCGACCCAAGGCGGAATCTTCAAAAACGTCTTTCTCCTCCTGCTCTGGCGGCGAGAGCATCGGCCAGGAAAGTCTGCACGAAAAAAACATTATCCAAGTGGAGCTTCAGGGATCCGACCTATGGAAGAGATTCCACGACATCGGGACTGAGATGATCATTACTAAGGCCGGCAGGTTTGGATGGGGCGTGATTTCCCTGAATCACACACAGTAAACACTCAAGGAGGAGAATCCAGTTTTGTAATGTGAAACTCCTCCCTCTCCTCATTCTAGAAAGCCACAGACTACTCAGTCTGCTGCTCTGGGAAGTACCTAGCTGCATTAAATAGTCTATTCATATTTTCTGATACATCCTCACGCCAAGGACTCACTCTTCCAACTCCTGCCTGTGCACTGTATGCAAAAACCTAGACCTGCACAGGCAGGCAAGTGTCAGATGTCTCTCCAACTTCTCAGCACTGTAGCCAGCCTCTCAGTTCAAGCCTAGGAAATAGCAGCAGACGATACTCCATCCACTGTCCTCCAGCACACCATCCCTGGCTTAGACCACTGGGAAGCCTGGGAAGCCGTCCTTTCTACAAGCTAACCATTTGGTGTGGGGCAGCCTTCTAATTAGTCGTCCTAATTTCAACATTTGCAAATCCACCTCACATACCCTTATACTAAAAGTACAGGAAAGGAACGAAACTTTTCTTGTCCTACTTGCTCTGTTATAATTTTGAATGCCGTGTGGGAGGTCATAGATTAGGACTTTTCATAAAGATAGTTTGCACCTCTAGGAAATCTAGGACTTTTAAATCAACTGTATTTTTCTTATGTAACAAATGTCACTTCCTGAATGTGTCATAGAAAGGGAAGAGTACTGTATTTGTCTATAACTCATCTTTCTTCAAATCGTCTCTAATATCTCCCACATCAGGTTCTATTTCCCATCCAAACTCCTATTTTCTTTCCCACAGGCGTATGTTTCCTTCTGTTCGGATCAAGGTGAAAGGGCTGGACCCAGTGAAGCAATACTATGTGATTTTGGATGTGGTACCAGTGGATTCCAAACGTTATAGGTAACTTGGTAGATAAGGTCCAAACAGGCTGAGGACTCAGAGTCAGAGCATCAGTCCTGCAGCCTCACACTTGACAGCAGGATAAGAACAAAATTGTATCTGGTAAGGAGAGAGGATTGCTCATCCTTGGACTCGGTTGAATTTTCTCATTTGAAATCTGGGTTCAAAGTGATGGAAGCTTGGCTCTTTCCTACTCATGGAAGTTGCTGTCGAGGGGCTCTTTATTGTACCCTAAGCCTACCCACTGCTTGTGCCTTAGAGATGTAAAGCGTGGATGCTCTGGCATCTCAGAGGCAAGAAGTTTGAAAAAATTTAGGAAGAGATTTCTTAGACTCAAGGTGTACCCTGGCTTCTGGGAATAGGCTATAATCTGGGCAGGTTCACAAATTAGGTTAGGATTTGCCCAAATCTAGTGGCAGGGTGCGAGAATCAGGGCTAGGTTTTTGGCCGTGTATCGTCCCCCTTTTTTAAATGTATGCCTGAAGGAATAGCCAGAATCAGACAGTGCCGGGAGTCTTTTATTCTTTTTTTTTTTCCTTGAAGACCTTGAGGAAGTTGGGCCAAAGGCAGACAAATTGTTGTAAAGATAAGAACCTTTTGAGCTAGTAGCCCCAAAGCGCTGCCCTAATGATGCTGTGACTGGGAACTCTGAAGTGAAGGGGAAGATGCTGAGAATGAAGCCCAAAAGTCAGCTGTGTGCAATCAGCCCAGGGGCTCCGGACCCTAGGGGAGAGCGGATCTAGTACCATAGCTGCCTCTCGAGGAAAGAAAGTGCAGTTCACCAGCACTTTTTTTGGAACTTCCTCCGCCTGGAAACAGACACAGCTTTTCCAGTGGCACTGAGGCAGGTTTAGGGAACGCTGAGTAAACCCTCAGTTTGAGATCCGAAACAGTTCCGAAAATCAGCACGCAGGCCACACTGGGAGGAGTTCCTGCGAGTTTTCTGATGTGCAGTTAAATTGACAAAGGGGTTCAGCAAGAAAGGGCTTTCACTGAAACTACTAAGCGTGGGCTAAACAGACATAGATACTGCTTAGCCTTCTGTTTCGTTCCATGTGCTTCTTGCCCGCTTGTCATTTGTGGAATTTTTAAAGCATCACTGCAGTGGGAAAATGAATCAGACTGATTACTGCTCCAGTTTCTGTGAAGACTCAGATATCCCATGCTGTTTTTACTCACCCAGACACTGCGTGGCATTTTGGTGGCATATGCCTATTTACTGTTTGTTTGTTTGTTGCCCTTGAACGTTCTTTGAAAATGAAGTTGGATCTTCTGTTTATTTGCTAGCCTTTGGAATAAGCGTTTTAATCTCTGGTGAGGCTCTTAGATGGAGAACTCTGACGCCTCCCATCCCTCTTATTTGTGCTGGCTGAGCCTAAAGCCACGCCTTGCTCCTTGCTCTTTTTCATCCCCTCAGGTATGTGTATCACAGCTCACAATGGATGGTTGCTGGGAATACTGACCATTCGAACATCACTCCCAGATTCTACGTCCACCCAGACTCCCCTTGCTCAGGAGAAACCTGGATGCGTCAAATCATCTCCTTTGATCGAGTGAAACTCACCAACAATGAGATGGACGACAAGGGCCATGTAAGTGAGCACAATCTTGCTCCTGGAGGAGGTAGGTTCCAAGGCTCCTGGCTAGAGTTAGTCCTCAAGAGGTCATTCTTTGTAAGTGTGTAATGTTTTGGTAACAAAACTCTTGGATTTGTAAGTCAGAGACCACAAAGGGCTCCCTCCTCCAAGCTCTGCCATCTGTGAGTGCTGGACTCTGTGAATGACTGCAGGGAGCTTGAGGGCCCAAAGACCCCAAAGAAGAGACCAGTTTAAGTTAGAGAAAGTGTCTCATAGTGGAGAGTGGGAGGGAATACTTCACAGGACTATCAGGCATCTTGGCTTCCCTGGCAACACTGTGGACTTTTGCTGTTCCTGGAGTCCACACATTTGTGACAGGGGTGCCTTTGATATGGTGTGGTGGGAGGATGCAAGCCAGTAAATAAGAATCCAGACTGCAAATTTCCACAACGTGCTGCCACCGGGAGTCAGTTCCTGCTTATTTTCAGGTTTCCTGGATCTTGAGCCTTCTCCCTAGGTACACTCCTGCCTGTGCCCTGCCAACCTAGTCTTGTGCCAGCCACAAAAGGAGAGAAGGAAACTACCAGGATTAGGAGGTGGGGAATATCAGGTTTCTGACCACATTTGGGATCGTCAGTTACTGCTCAGAGAATCTATATCAGGTGATCAGGTACTCATGACATTTCCACACCACATGATCATCACATTTGGAAGCAGGAAAGGCCCCAATCTGGCTAAGGAATTTGCTGCATGGTGTCAGTGTCACTGTGGTGCATTCCTCTGGAAAACCTTTTATGCAGGAGGGATTCTGTTGGGGACCAAAGTCCACATCACAGTCCTGATTTATGATTATCAGAGCCTTCCTACATACTGCTACCTAGAATTTTGGGGTGTGTCTTCACTGGGGGTTATCATAAACAGGGTGTGGTGTTGGGGAGAAGTTGGTGTTTCAGACAGCATCTAACCATTTCTTTCTTAGATCATTCTGCAGTCCATGCATAAGTACAAACCCCGTGTGCACGTGATGGAGCAGGACAGCAGCATTGACCTGTCCCTGATTCAGTCCCTTCCTACTGAAGGAGTTAAAACATTCTTTTTTAAAGAAACTGAATTCACTACCGTGACAGCTTACCAAAACCAGCAGGTAACACTGCCTAGACCTCAGGAAGTGGGAGTAGCCCCAGTGGCATATTGGGACAGAATCAAGCAGCATTGTATGGGTTATATTTTAAACAATGGAGAAAAAAGTCATGGTTTTACTTCATTATCAAGTGATGTTTGATAGAAAGTTTTGTGGTTCTTCTGTTAAACAGGAGATCATAGTAGAAGTGACGAGTAGGCAAAGGAGACAATCATCTTATATCTGACTTAATTATATGCTTGCATTTATTTCTACATTATAATGGCAGCATTGTTGCTGAGAACATAGACTGGACTTTTCTCGTTGTCTTTCTTTTGAATTCATAGATTACCAAACTGAAAATAGACAGGAATCCTTTTGCCAAAGGATTTAGAGATCCTGGGAGAAACAGGTAAGTAAAGTAGCATTCAAAATTAATATTTATGTAGCCCCTTTAATGACTACTAGAAATAATAAGTGGAGCTGCAATCATACAGAGTATTTATATAGCTCTTTTATGAGTATTAAAGATTAGATAACTGTGGACGAGAGACTGCAAAACTTACAATTTTATGGACAGTAGGTGGTAAGAAAGAATCTTCATATTTGGATCCCAAAGCATGCCTTTTTCTGCTGTACCTCCTGGCCAGTGTTAATATATTATGTAGTATAGACTTGTGGAGCTTACAGAAATTTATTCACATACTAGCTATGAGTGAATATAATAGTTGGGATGATTGCTCATAAAGTATAATAGGTTTATATGAATAATATTCACTAAGTGTTTTCTGGAGTTGCTGAAAATAGGTATCTTTTTTTTCAGGGGTGTATTGGATGGGTTTTTAGAGACCTACCAATGGAGGCCCTCTTTCACTGTGGACTTTAAAACCTTTGTTGCAGACACACAAAGTAAGGAAACTTTTAACTTTTGGTTTTTATTTTTGCATATTAATGCAGTAACAACAGTCATAATTCTTATATCAAATACTACACAAAGGGATAAATATATGACAGAACAAATGTGTTCACAAGCATTATGTATTTAATATGTGGGGAAGTAAAAAGTAAAAACAGAGACAAGTGGACACTTAAGGGAGATAATGTAGTTATGTTGCCAGTGGATGTATTGCTTATCTAGCATATTGAACTATCTTACTCTTTTGTCATGACATTATACATGGATTCCACAGTATCTCTTTCTTCTATATGAAGAATCTATTGGGCCTCTGGCCCATCTGTAGCCTAATTTGGAAATATATTAGCTGTATAAGTTATTTTATTTATCTTTATCATATGTTTGAATATCATATTTCTTTTGCCTTTACTTAGTTCTAATTTACCTTTTTATTGAATGAGAAGTAAATATAAAAAATAACCCTAATTGATCACATCTAGCTTATTTACATTTATGCTTTGCTCTTATTTTCACATTATTTAAAAAGTCATTGAGCATATGATTCAAGGTAACAACATATTGTAGAATCTATAGCAGGTAAAGTAAAATGTATGATGATAATGGTAGAGAAGCTATGAAGAAATAAATGCAATTATAATACTATAAATTCTTATACAGGTAGTGGCATATTACTGCTTTAAGGGAAACTGAAAGTAAAAGATGAATACAACAAATAGAAGCAATAATTAAGAAATCTTGATTAATAAGCCAAGAAAGGAACTCTCAGCATGCAACAGAACAAAATGGGCTAAATACAACATGGATATGGTACAAGTTTGTGTACTTTTAAATTTTAAAATACCCTTTACTTACACATTAAAATTGAGTGTCTTAGTGCAGTACCATATAATGTTTTATTCATGTATACATTAATGTTTAGACTCATTCATCTTTATCTCCTCAAGAAGTTGTTACCTTTATATGGTGAAAACTTTCAAAATCCACTGTAGTTTTTTTCAAAAGCACAATATGTTCATGTTAACTCTAGTCTCTATATAATGCAATAGCACAAGTGAACTTCTTGCTAGTGCCTCACTATACCTTTGTAGCCACTAATTTGACATTTCTCCATCCCTATTTGACCCCCCTTTACTCTCAGTATCTGGTAACCAGTACCATGTTCTCAGTTGTCATAAGATCACTTTTTATATTTCACATATGTGCTAAACCATACAGTACTTGCCTTTCTGCATCACAACCAATTTAATTGTTATGTCTTTAAAAGTATTCATAATGTGTTTCTTCTCAGGCAATATATCATCATACTTGGATAATGTATGTGTTCTGGTAACATAATCTATATCTTTATTTCTGAAATATTTAACTATAAATAGAATATTTTAATTGAAAACAACATAAAACTTTCTCCATTCATCTTTACTCCATTGAACTCACTTGTCTTTCAACATTTACTCAACATTACTTTTGTGAAGCAAGACATCAACATTACACTTAAGTTATAAGTGATGCCATAACAAGAAATTGTGATGCGAAGAAATGAAGTATAATTACTTGTTGAAATGATATGCTTTAGAAAGTTGCATAAAAGCTATGAACATTTGTTTTACTAGAACAATTCAACTGGTAGTATTAGGCAGCATACATTTCAAATATCCAAGTAACCTAATTTTAAAAAAGACAAAAGTGATCATTAGTTGATCACTTAAAATACAGTTAACTTCATCATTTTAAGTATGAAGTGTTCAATCATATGGGAGAGGAGCAATCATTTCAAAAATCATATTTGACTGATTTATTACAAATATTTGTCACTCTGTTGTTAACATATTAGTGTATATTTATACTTATATATACAAAATACCCAAGAAAAATGACAAAATTATCAATAAAATCCCCCAACTTCACCAAGTATGGTCAAACATAATTGATTGAATCCAAACATTTACAAAAATAAAGCTCAGAGTCTAGATTGTCTTGTACCATATCACTACCCCTAATCTGTTAAACAAGTGGTTATCAACCTCCATAATGCTGTGACCCTTTAATACAACTCCTCATGTTATGGTGACCCCCCAACCATAAAATTCCTTCATTGCCACTTCCTAACTGTAATTCCACCACTCTTATGAATCATAATGTAAATATCTGATATGCTTCCCCCAAATTGGTCATGACCCACAGGTTGAAAGCCACTGTGTCAAACAATAAAAGACTGGATGTAGAGTAAACACTTTCCTTCTCACCTTGGTGTTTCTTAACTTGAAACACTGTCTTCAATTCTTGATAGAAAAGAACCATGGAAATCTCCCTATGTATGATTTTCATATAAGACAACATATTAGTAATTGTTAATATGTTTTTCATCAATAAAATTATTTTACATTTACTTTATTTTTTACACTAAAAAGATCTGTAAAATCCCAAACAATGAATTATTTTGTTAGTAGGCAGTTTAAAGAAATAAAAGGTTAATTGTTATCAGTAATATGTTATTGGCTGAGTTATATATGGGACTTGTTTAAATGTTGGAAAAAATGTAAAGACCTGGAGTATACTGAACATTCAGGGTGTAATGCAAAGTAGTAGTGGCACAGTAGCAGTACTGACAGTAGTAGAGCTATCATCTTCAGAGTCAGTCAAAGGAATATAAATATCTTTTCCTAAGCCAAAAGAACATGAACTTGCAATGCAAATACTCCAAGAATTGGACAGAAGGGGCAATAGATATGGTTACTGGTTCAGCAGGAATATCAGGTTCACTATTCACTGACTGACTTGTCCTTTCACAGGTGAAAGCAGTGGCTCATCTCCAGTGACCTCTAGTGGAGGAGCTCCCTCTCCATCTAACACCTTACTTTCTCCATCTTGTTCTCCACCTACACCTTCCCTTCACATTCCTCCAAGCTCCTTTGGAACGACCTATCCAGAGACATACCTGCACAATGTAAACCTACCATTCTGCTACAAGATTTGTCCAACTAATTTTTGGCGACCACAACCTCTTGTCTTACCTACTCCTGAAAGGCTACCAAGCTTCAACAGTTCTCATTCTTTACCCCCACTCATGATGGAAGTACCTATGGTATCCTCCAGGGGCGTCATCAATTCAAACAGTGGCTTACATGAAGGCTGCAATGGGCAGTGTCTACAAGCATCTCAGTCTACCAATCAAATGTTATATGGATTACAGAATCCTGGAAATATTTTCCAGCCAAACCCCATTGCCCAAGGAACACTCAGTTGCCCTTTTCATCCTTCCCAAGGCTGTTATAGGTACAACTTATCGGTGCCATCTAGACTCCAAAATGCTACCAACCATCTCAGTGAAAATGACAACAGTCAGACTTCTTTTAAAGAAGGCAGATGTGATCATTCCCATTGGCATCCAGCAGTCAACAATTGCCTTTAATGGGACAACAATCACATTTTAAGCATTTGACTACATTACATGTAAGCATCTATTTTCTTTATTTTTAACAAAAGAAAGGAAAACATTTCCTAAAATTTCCTTACCAAACAGCATTGTTTTTGTTTTGCAAATGCAAAAGAACTTCTATATATTGTGACCTGTAAGAATATGACATAATAGTCTTGGTCCTCAAATAAGTTACTTAATAAATATTATTTGATAAGTTAAGCCATCAGTGATAATTAATGCCAGGAGAGTGTCTCCAATTACAGCATTGTCAACTCACCATCTATCTGTGCTTTACCTATTAACAAAGACCAAAACGAGATGGATATAATTTATGTAAAAACAAAAAAATATTTCAGTCTTATCTATAAGTATCCATCAAGCAATTATGACTAAATTGAATCATTTGTCTGATTTATATTTTGCTGATGAAGGAAATAGTAATTATAATTTTAAGGCATAGACAGGGACACAAGTTTCCAAGTATTGTTTTGGATTAATCTGTGTAGCCTGAAAAGTATTTAATTCTGAAGAGGATACAAAGATCAAATGAAAGATAAAGCATTCCAAATAACTTTGATCTTTGTTTCCTTTTATTTGAATGATTCACATATGAAGTCTGTTAATATATTCCTCTAAAAAGCCTATTCATTCTACATATTAAAACATATGATTTTAGTTCTCTTAAAAAACTGAGACAGTATTTGAAAGTAGAGAACAGATTTGAGTATATAGATATGAAAGTAACATTACATTGGTAGAATTTAATTCCTATTTTTCACATCGTGTATCTTAGTCATGGTAAAGGAAATGGATAAAAGCAAAAATAAAACTTTATTTTAGTTTTTGAATTTGAATAGTATCATTTCATCAATTCCTAAATTTCTGAAAAGAATTATAAAACTATGACCTGTATATTCAACACATGTCTTTAAAAATCAGATATAAGAATTTATAGAAATAATTGAACTTATTTTATTAAGCAAAAGTTGTTTAATTATAGCAATATGACTTGACTTTTACCACCACTAAGAAATCTGTCAAACACCTTTCCTTGTTTTTTCTAAAACACTCCAGGAAGAGCATACATTTATCATATTGACCAAAATAGTTATTTCATCCTAAATACTCCTTAAAAATATGCCTTCCTATTAAGGTTTTGCACCTGACTTCAAGAAATATAGATAGAACAGCACATGGTTGCATAAGACTAAATATTCTAATGAAGATAATGAATTATTTGCAGTTTATACTGATAGATCTATTGCAAAAGTCTCTGAGGCATGAAATATGTACTGTTCAAGTTTATCAATCAAGGGATTAAAGAAGCAAGTACACTTTATTTTTGTCTACCCTACAATAGGAACTCTGTAGGCAAAAATACGAATTTAACATAGCTCCTATAATGAAACTATCTGATAGCTTGTATGTGGCTACATCATTACTTGAAAATAAAAAGTTATTTAACAGAAAATTAAAGAAAATCTATGAGTTGCTCTTTATTATATAAGGGAATACAATAATGGATATTTTAGGGTATACATACCAATGCTTTAAATGTCAGATATTTTGTTATGTTTTGCAGTCATAAGTCTAAGCAATAATACCTAATAGAGGCAAATTTTTAGATGCTACAGGTTTGGCATTTATCTTATGTTATTTCATAAAAGTTCATAAATTGTGACTTCACACTTTTAATTATAGTAAACTAGGGAAAGCCTTCATAGACAATTACACTTGGAAGAAACCTCAATCAAAATGCCCCCTTTTGTTGAAATAAACTGTTCATTTGCAGCAATCGGTTACTGTATTAGAACTCACGCACATAAATATTTAATGCATCACTGCCAGCTCCTAAATCGATGGTACAGAACTCAAGAGAGTTGATAACCTGTGAATATAGTTATGGAACAACAACAGCAAAAATCTATCTGTCCACATTTAAGTGCCTTGCTTTAAAATTTTTCAAAAGCATTTAGTTAGACAAAGGGAGAAATTGTTAGCAAATGAAAGTAGCCACATGATATTGCCTAAGTTCCAAATTCTAGTAAATAAAACTTTTCTTTTAACCTTATTTGCACACACACCACCACCACCACCACCACCACCACCACCACCACACCACACACCTCCTCTTTTAAAAGAAAACAACAGACTACATTTAGATATCTGATTTTTAACCTGATCTAACATAAACCTAGAGAAAAATAAACCTTGCATCAATTTTGTAAAATTTTCACATTGAGTCAGGAAATAAGTGAATGATATTTTATCCTTGTATAGCTCTCAGTCAAGTTTAGACCTGTAGTCAGAGTCCCTGGTCAGGAATTTATTTTTCAGTCAAGCTGAAATCAATGAGAATAATTAAGTTTGGTTGAAGTTCTAAATGGACATATTTCTATATTGCATTGCTTATTACATTTTAAGTATTAATGTAAGACTACGTAACATGATTTTAGAGCATCAATGTCTTTAATATCATTTTCGCTATTGGGTGCCTAAAATATATGGATATTATATTTCAGAAGGCCAAATTATCACTGTAACTTTGTAGTATTTTAGGTTGCATACTTTCCAGAATCTTCAAATTAACTCATGTCATTGCTTCTATGTAGTGTGCTTTGAAAATGAAGAGGCTTCTTCAAAACTCCCAAGATGTGAAGAGATGTTTCACATTGCCTTCAAGCATGAGTTCTCCATATGGTCTGGGAATGGACATGATTTCATTCTTCTATGAAGTTGAAGTATGTCTGTGGCAGGAAAAGAAATGAACTATTAGTCTCGACAAGTGATGAAGTGATGACTCAGTGACTACTCCATCTTTGAACCATCAGCATCTTATGTGTTGACAACATGACAAGGGTGCCAACACTGCATAAAGACAAGCATCTGCACTGGACATTATGGAAGATTTTCCTTACACTCTAACTATTTCTATTTTGCACCTTGGGGAAAATCAAGGCACACAAAGCAGGTACAATGGTACCCAGAGTATAGCCAAAATAAATGTGTTGTTTGAATACTAAAATATATTTTGCAAAGTTTATATGCATGCTAACAATGAATTTAGCATGTTTGAAGCACTAGAACTGTATTTATATATTATAAAGTACGACTTTTTTGCATTCTTGTCTCCTTATTTAATCTCACTAACAAGTTTTTTATCATATGTATATGGTTTTGTAAATTAAAGATGCCACTCTACTATGTATTTTTATATGCACATAATGCATGTGTGTATGTGTGCATTCTCCAGTGGGGTATTTAGTACTCTTTTAAAATGATTTAGGCTGTGTTTTTTTCTCCCACTCCTAAAGAGAGATGCTGTATAGAAAATCTATTCATTCGATACTACATACACTATTAAAATTATGTAAACCTATGTGGAGATACATATTTAAATATATTTAGAAATGTCTGATTTCATATGCTATACTTTGATAATTGAATTGACAGGGTACAATTTTATTCCAATTTGAAGATATGTCGACTTTGTGCTGAAAAGTATTCAGCCAGCCAAAATAGCAATCAATAATTCCTAGTATACAGCAACAGTTTACCAGTTGATTTCACTGGAATTTAACATGCCTATTGGAGCAGTTAAAAACAAGCAAAATATATAGATAGCTTGGGCACTGGTGGTAGTTGCTTTGAAATAACAACCTTGATATTCATTTAATCTCCTTAGATTTGATATACAATTAAATGATATTTTGTACTAAAACTATATAAATAAACATGGTTTGGATGCCAACATAAAACAGAATGAATAGATAACATAGAACATTTGAAACATATCCCATATTAAAACTATTTACACATGTAGGGCTAGCCAAATTTGACATGTTGTTTCAATAAAATATTGAGAGTAAAAACAGTATCATTTCCTCTCAAAGTTTCAAATGTTCATGTTTACAAATTTGTCCTGCACATTAATATGTAAACATACATTATGGTAAGCAGATGTACAGGAAAATGTTGTCATATCTTTGTATTTAGTTCAAATGCATACACATGTTCATTGACTAATTTTTAATTGCCTAAAAGAGTTGCAATCATTAAAGTTAAATAGAAAATTCTGAAAGTATAATACAGTGTGTTATATCACTAAACACTTTAGTCAAATATTATTTTGTTGTTACTCTTAAACATGAAAGAATTTTGACTTTGATGCAATATAACATTCTTATGCACATGATGTAATCTTTAGTTATAAAATATGTAATTAACAACTTAAAACCTTACTAATATGAAAGGAAATAAAATCATGAATTTGAGCTTGGGTTCGATAAAATTTGATGTCTGTTTTATTAAGTAGATAATTCAGTATTTCTTCCCTTTTATGGTCATTTTTAATGTAGTACGTTAGTACTTAACTTTTATTTAAATTTTACCTGGAATTTTCATATTTCATTTATAACAAAGATTTTTGGACTTTCTAACCAATTGAATGAATTCACTAGCTTTGTTTCTTGTTGAATTTTACAGACTTTTGGAAAGAATATTAACATAGAAACAACACACACACACATACACACACACACACACACACGCACACGCACACGCACACACACACACACACACACACACACACGCACACACACACACACACACACACACACACACCATATATACTGAAATTTGAAAGAACACAAAAAGCAAAACCAAAAGGTAAAGAGTCACAATTTGTAGTTTGACTTAAAGACTTGCAGTGTCTATACAGGCTACACAATTTTATGTGTTATAAAGAGTAACAATACAATGAAATAAAAGATAAAGCAAAAACAAACCAAATAGGATAAAATAAACAGTAGATAAAAGAGACAAAGAAAAATCACAAGAAACATATATAGATGCAGACACACACACACATTCATACATACAGGAGTCTCATAAAAACACAAAACCAGAAGTTGTACATGTAAAGGACCTGTAAGATAAAAACAGAAAATGTTCTGACAAGACATTATGAGACAAAGAACATCCAAAGATTCCACTGAATTCATTTTGTGTTGGACATCTACTTCTG